TTTATTATTTTAACATTTTAGTACTAATAAAATATAAACATGTAACATAATTTAATTATAATTACATCAATTTAAACATGTGAAGCATTTTATCTACAAACAGCGCTCAAAAGGTGTTTAGGATAATCTGGGTGATTCGCAGCAACCTTGTTCATTTCCCAGGAAGACTTTAGGAAATCAAAATGTACGGACTCCATATGAAGATTTTTTATATGGGAGAAAAATAACTATATTTTCTATTTTTTAAATAATGTTTATTTTTTATGTCAAAATTAAACATTTTCAAATAATTAATTTCTATAAACCCTAGTTCGGTTGTAATTCAACTTACTTGTTTTTATTTATATATATCAAATATGCAATTATTTTTCATAATTAATTATTTTAATTTACTCTCTAAATCTGAATTAGTAGTTTTCTACTAGTGAAATAGTGCGAATTCATTTACCAATTGAATTAGTAACTGTTTTTACTATTTTTTAGTAGTTTTTTATTAATTATTAGTAGAAAATTTACTAATTTTAAATAGTAAAAAATACGTTCTACTAATTAAATTAGTAATTTTCCACTAGAAATTGGTAAAAAATTACTAAAAATTAGTAAAAAGAGTTACTAATTCAGTTGGTAAACGAATTCGCACTATTTCATTAGTAGTAAACTATTAATTCAGATTTAGGAAGTAAATTAAAATAATTGCATATTTGATATAAATAAATATTTAAATAAATAAAAATACTATAAGTTGAAGTATATTATAAGTATAAGTTGAAATACAACCGAACAAGGGTTTATAGAAATTAATTATTTGAAAATGATTAATTTTGCGATAAAAAATAAACATTATTTAAAAAATAGAAAATTTAGTTATTCTTCCCATAGATAAAAAAATCACCCGGATTATCCTAAACACCTTTTGAGCGCTGTTTGTAGATAAAATGCTTCACATGTTTAAATTGATGTAATTATAATTAAATTATGTTACATGTTTATATTTTATTAGTACTAAAATGTTAAAATAATAAAAGTTTAATAGAATTACCACTTAAAAATGATTATTATATCATTTTTTCCTTCCTATTCATATAAATAAACAATGCCATATTTTCCAAAATATCGTACTTCGTGCGCAAAAATGTTTAAAGTGGATTTATTTCAAAATCTCTCCACAGATTATTTTAGTTTTTTGATTTTTCTCATCTATGAACATTGTAAATTCAGAATATCTACTAATTTTCTAGGTGTAAGACCTTTTTATTTAATTTTAGTTAAGGCGCACCGTGTTCCCTGATACCATTTTTTCATTTCTTTTATATCCTGATGGAACCTTTCCCCTTGTTCTTCACTTACACTTCCAAGATTTACATTGGGAAAGAAATCTAAATATAATTTATTTATAAGCTTTCTCTCGCTGACATCTAACATTTAAACTAAATTGTCTAAATCCAAAGAACCAAAACATCATATATTCAATTAACTTCCTTTTTATTCAAAAGAAAGAAAGAAAGATGAAGTTTTTCTTAATACAATTTAATTAAAAATATTCATTTCCAGTTTTCTCTTATTTGTTTATTTACAATTTTTTCATTTTTCTTTATTTTTAATTTATTTGTATTCAATATCTATTTCCAATTTTTATTTTAGTGTTATTTAACATCTAATTCTAATTATTACAATTTTAAATTACAGAATGTTAATGAATTTTCATTATAAATATCTGTAGACAATTTTGTATCATAGAAAAAATATATAAGAACTGTACAAAAAGAAAATTTTATATTGTTTAAATAACTAATTTCAATGTCTTTTGTACTAAAAATATTTGTTTGCTCTATCTATAAAAATTGTAAAAAAATGTATTAATTTATTATGTGGAAATAACTTACAGTTTACTGATTGCTTAATAAAAAAACTCAATATTCATTAACTTATCTTTAAACGACGAAACATAGAAAATGAATGGAAAATTTCTGTTCTGTATCCACTACTGAACTTGAAAGAATGTTACTTTTCAAAACTGTACTCTTTATAAACTTATCATTCAATTTACATAAAAAAATTGTTTAATATTCTTTAAACATTGAAGAATAAGGTTTTACAATTGCCAGTGATGTAACGTAGATCAGCCCATTAATGGAACATGAGTGGCACTTTAATGGCAAAAATTTTGTATCTTTGATGGCAAATTACAATTGCCAGTATTGGGCCAAGCGCCGCCTCAATACTGGCAATTGTAATTTGCCATCAAAGATAAAAAATTTTTGCCATTAAAGTGCCACTCATGTTCCATTAATGGGCCGATCTACGTCACATCACTGGCAATTGTCTTTTGTTATTAAAGATTGATCAACTTTGCCGTGAATGTACCATTATTGGGCTGAGAGCCGGCCCAGTCTTAGAAAATTTAAAAATCTGACCATCGACGCCATCATTGGCCCAGCAATGGGAAGTTTTGAACACCAGTAATGGCCCAGTAATTACTGCCAATTCTCGGCAGACATTACTGGGCCAATGATGGGCCCTTTTTGCAGTCTTGGCATTTTGCACTTGAGTTACCACTAATTCATACTCTCTCTCTACTCACTGGTCACTCAATAGACTGCCCACTGGTTGAAAGAAACCCTTTGAACAATAGGCCAGGTACTCGAGCGGGCCTCTCGTTTCTCTTTCTATAATATATATATATATATATATATATATATATAATATTCAATATATCATTTAGTGAAAATTTCTTTCTGTCTCCCTCTTTCTAGTAACTAAACATAAATCGCTCTCTGTTTATAACGCAGAAAAGTTAACGCATACTTATCTCTCTTTCATTTATTGAAAACATTATAAAACTATCTCTCTTCAGGTAACGGTATTGCTTTCCTCCTCTTTTGAAGGAAAATAACATCAGAATGTCTCTCTTTACCTAATTTGCATATCTACTGATTTCATATAAGGATTGTTGACATGCATACTTACATTAATTACAAAGTAAAATCCACGCATGATCTAATTTATTTCATTGGTAAGGGATGTTTCTTAAATAGGAAATTTCCCCCATCGATTGCGTAGCCGAGAGGCTTAATGTAAAAGCGTGCGATTTATAATTATGCGTATATTTAGTTGTATGGTTAGGTAGGTGTTCAATCCCGTATGATTGTAAGATTTTCCGATGCAGTTAGTTGTTAATTGTAAGTATGAAAATGTGGGAAGAATAAAACTTGCGAATTAATGAATATGAATATATAAAGAGTGCATTTAACATTTTTTTTTAATGATTGGTTATTGTTTCTTTTTATATAAAAATTTATATAAAAATTTTTTATATAAAATTGACGAAGTGAATAAAAGGAAACACTCGTTTCGCGTCGCGTCGGCCATTTATTTTGACAGGTTCCGCGCCTGCGTTCCCTCATTGTGAAAATTTCGAAGTAGGGGACTGAGTCCAGTTTCTCTACTATGCACACTGCAGCGCGCCTTATAATCTTCGCCTGTGTTTCAATGCTCTTTACAGTGACATTTGGAACTAAGGCCCTCTATACACTATACGCAATACCCTAAGATGCTTGATGGAATTGAATTAATGTACATACTTTTACTGGACTGAGTCCTGTTTTTTCAATATTGACTCCCAGTTTTTCAAACTTCATTTTGCTCCGTGATGATAGATAGTAAAAGTGGTTTATAATAACAAAAGGGGAGCAAAATTAGGATAAGTGATTTGGGACTAAAAATGAGTTAAAATGATTGCTGAATTTATCGATAAGCTTATTATACTAATGATTACAAAATATTAACTACAATAAAATAGGTTTTTTAACTATTGTTAATATTTTTTAATCATTAATATAATTAATTTATCAATAAATTACACAATTAGTTTAACCAGTTTTTGCTGTCTTTGCAGCAATAATAAACCATTTTTATTATCAGCCCCTCAAATATAATTACGTCCAATTTTTGTTCTTGTTTCTTTAGAAAGCTAAGAGTTGAATAAACTGCAATTCAAGCATACTCTTATTTCAATAGCGTTCTTTTTCACATTATCTGTGACACCTGTTTAACTTTCTTCCTACATTTTAAATAGAAGTACCGTCTACTCGAAATTATTGACCTGTTAATAAAATTACTAAAGAAAGAATCCACTACTTATTAAATAAATCATGATTGAGAAGAGCAAATTACTTTTACTAAGCGATGATTAATTTTATACTTCTTTTTAATATAATTTCGTATTTAACAATAATGTTTTCAGCCATTTAATAACAATATAAAATATTTCCAAAAATAGGAATACAAATTTTTTGTAAGACTAAAAATAAAACTCCTAATTTTATATATTAATGTTAATTTTTTTATAATTTTTTATAATTAAGCAAAATCATGTTAAATTTTTCTCAAATTTAAAATATGTGACGCGCTCCGAAGAAAGGTACCGAAGAAGCGAATCAATTCAAGATTGTTTGTGTTATTTTTAATATGATTAAAAATTTCTGTTTAATTGCGAAAATTTACAATCAGTTTTAATTAATTATTTTTAATTCAATATTTTGACTCTTAACCTTAAAATTTTAACGTAGCATGGATAATGTCTTTATTATATAAACATTTTTTAAAGAAAAAATTTATTCAAGCAATTATATTATATAAACAAAGAAATCTTATACTTCGTAAATGTTCTCCAACATGCTGTCTGTATATATGTTATATTGTAGTGAATTATCATTGTAGATCTGATGAGGATGTGGTATTCCATGTCGAAACGCGTCATCTTATTGTAAATATAAATATATAATGAAGCCATTAGGCCAAACAGAAGAATCAAAACATCTTTTATTTAAATTATTTTTAATGTAATGAGGACTTAAACATCAGTGATTTTCAATTGAATGTTGATCCCCTTTGTGTACTTTCATTTCAAAAATTACGAAAATAAGCTAGTAGTTTTTGCTTGATAGCTTGATTTAAATTGGTTAAAATATGTTAAAATATGATTTCTTTTTCATTTTCAGGTGACGCCTTAACATGCTATCAGTGCAACAGCGCATATGATCCACGGTGCGGTGATCCATTTGATTCTTATAGCTTAGGAACAGTAAACTGCAGTTTTCAACCTCGTTTAGAACACCTCAAGCATCTTGAACCAGCAGTTTGTCGAAAAATTAGTCAGAAAGGTTAATATGAATCTTTTTAAAAATATATTGATTGATTTAAACTGATTGTGCATTTAATGTCCAGAATCAGGCATTATCGACATTGCCAAAAATCACAGGACATTGCCGACAATGCTCTAAAGAATTTACTTGTGTTCAAAAATCTTTAACAGTGCCCAGACATTATTGCTAATACCCACTTATGCTTGAACAATGATGTTTACCATGTTATTTACTACCAGAAATTATTAAAAAAAAGTAATTTATTTATTTTTACATGACAGACTACTGTTAGGTGATCCAGATGTACTATAATAAAACAATATCCGTTGTATTCCTGGGATGTCACCTCAATTAGGTCAAGTTCTTTATTTTTATTTCTTCTACTTATCCTCTATATTTTTTGTTGTTAATAGCGAAGAAATGGCGACTGTAAAAAAAAATCTCGAAAATCTGGTTGACATGATATCTCCAGTCAGAACAGACGGAATTAAAACATTCAAACGGACCCAGTAAAAAAAAAGTTTTGGAAGAGAGCGAATTAGCAGAAATTAGCAGAAACTCACCGCCAATAGGCGGTGAGTTTCTGCTAATACGTTTTCACGTCAAAACCGTATTGGGGGCATTCTGCCAATCCTGCTTTTTCACCGCCCCATAGTAGCACGTAATGTTAGGAACATTCCAGCAACATTGAGGCAATATTGATAATGTTAAGGCAGTGTTCTCAATATTGCTGTAATATTACGTGCTACTGGGGCGTCAATACCATCCTCTTGAATCTTTCGATTTCACGTTCATTGACTCGACTTGAGTGTGTACTGTTGATCTATTACCACATGATTTAGGAAGCTTTCGACGTTCGCGCTAGGGGCGCTGTGAGTATAAGTCACAGCGCTTATCTAGAAAATACCCTAAATCATATGGTACACGGAGAGAAAAATCAAGCGTTTGTAGTATGGATATGGTCCATACTTAAAAAGCACGGCGCTGTTTATACTCGATTTGTAGAAATCTATGCTAAAAGAGTCTAGGTCTCTACTCTTTTAGCATAGATTTCTACAAATCGAGTATAAACAGCGCCGTGCTTTTTAAGTATAGACCATGTCTTACTACAAACGCTTGATTTTTCTCTCCGTGTAATAGACCAACAGTTTGTCACATTTCATTTATTTACATAACAAAATTTTATTTTAACAAAATTTTATATTTCCTGTTCGTTATTAGCATTTTTACACATTAAATCAATCAGTTGTAACGTGGCGTTACGAATTCTCCCGCGTCTGCTGCGAATCAGGCGATTGAACCCGGAAACGGCCGAAGGGCCTCGAGGGTGTCAATCGCCGGATTTGTAAGCAGACGCGACACTTGTTGTTTCGACCCTCTTGTATCAACATCTCCTTGATTACCCGTTTTGTGACAAGTTCGTCGTTATCTTGTGGGACCAGATTCTCAGGTGTAACAGACCCGTAAGTTACAATAAATACTTGATATTTTAAATACTTGTGTCTCCCATTTACTCTCCTTCCTCCCCTTTTCCCTTAATTATAAATGGAGATCTAGCCTCCAGTTATAAATTGGCGCCCAACGCAAAAATCCACCTTTCACATTTCCTTTCTTTAAAGAAAATTCTCTAAAAATAATTTTTTTCATCATCTTCGTTTGTTGAAAACTCCCCAAGAAAATTCCCAAAATAATTCATTTTTCATCATTTTTGTTTTGTTGAAAATTCTCAGAAAGAAAATTCCACCTGTCACCTTATGGTCGCCTAACCTCAAAACCAAACCTTTTCTCTCTTCCTTTTTCCCATATTTAATGAAAAATATTTTATTTGTGCTTGAAAATTATTGATTTTATTTTGTGCTATTTGTATATAATTTCTGACAATTGTGACAAATTTTTATGTGACGAACGGACGACAATGACGAAAATTATTGTGTAAAATCAGTGCGCGAAAACACCGGCAAAAAATTAATCGTGGAAAATTCATAGAAATCGGGACTAAATTCGTGAAAATTAGCGAAAATTAGTGAATATAGCGAAAAATAAAATAGTAAATTACAAAAAAAGTGAATTTATCGATTATTTTAAGAGAAAATTTTGTCGTTGATAGAAGACGATTTGTTTTGTTTTCGTGGTCGAGGTCGTGTGTAACACACAACAAAATAGTAAACGGAAAAGTAAACACGACAAATTTCGCAATTTTCAGCCCAAAAAATCAGAGAATATTTTTTGCAAAGAAAATTCGCGACCAATACAAAATTTTTCAGGACGTGAAAATTATTGTTTTAGAAATAAGAATATTGCTGTTCACAGCGACGCACAGGAACAATATTCAGACTCAGATAAATTCAAAAATGAGATTACTTTAAGAGACAAAGAATTAGAACAACTCAAATTAGAATTGGACCGAATGAGAAGCGTTATAGAAAATTTAGCGAAAAATATAAATTCGAAAATACAAGAAAATTTCACAAAAAATACTCCAATCGAAAATCCAAATGCCCAAGCCGATAATAATCGCCATTTTGGAAATTCAATCAACCCCTTTCCTTTTGTCATGATTCAAACCCCGTTTCAAATCATGTCAAATTGGCCTTTTAAATTCCACAATAATAAAATTGATAACCCCATTAAATTCTTAGAACTATTTAGATTCAAGCGAGGTTATGAAATATCGAATAATCACGTACTAGAAAATATTGACGCAGTATTAGCGGACAAAGCTCTCGAATGGTGTAGAACTGTTAGAAATAATTGGATTTCTTTAGAAGATTTTCGGGAAGAATTTGAAAAGACTTTCTTAGACGAGAAGTTTTATGAAGAAATTTACACGAAAATAAAATATTACAATCAAGAAGATGGAGAAAAGATTTAACCTTTTTTGGTTGGAATAAGAAAATTGTTCGGAAAATTACACCCGCGAAAAGGTTTACAATGGGAACTACGTCGCGCGTACGAAAATTTGCGGATCGAATATAAAATGTACATCCAAAGAAATGATTTTAAAACCTTCGAGGAATTAGAAAGCCTAGGAAAAGAATTCGAAATCGAGAGGAATAAATCGAAAATTCGCGGTCAATCTTTAAAAATTACAACTGATGAAAAAGAAAACTCGTCTAGTGATGAATCTGAACAAATGTCAGACCAGGGAAATAATGAAAATTTTAGAAAATTTGGTGGAAACTCGAGATTCCAATCAAAATTTTCAGGAAATAATTTTCAAAGAAACTGGTCATATGACCAACCAAAAATAACTTTTCCACCTGACAAAGTTACAGACGGTAGTAGAGGTCAGAACATGATGGAAAATTCTTCTGATGATAAAAATAATACAGATAATAGTCTACAAGTAGAAGTACAAAATCATTCTTCTGCAGGGAATGTAAGTACTTCTAGAACAGATCAAAAGGATATAAATTATTAGAGAAATTTTTTAAACTCACAAAAAAGATGTTACGGTTGCAGAACATTAGGTCATATACGTAGGGAATGTAGATCAGAATCACGGAAACGAGTAGAGGAGGTACGGAAAAATTCAGTATCCTCAGAAAATATTGAAACATCAGAAAATTTTGAACCTTTGATGACGATAGGGGAATTAGTTGAAAAAATGAACAGAGTCAAACCCGTAAAACAGGATGTAGGATCACAAACGGAGTGGTCAAGCACACATCATGAAAATCGAAAAATTAAATACGCGCAAAAACCCGAGCAAATTAGGGTAAAATCCAGGAAAAATTTTGAATTGAAAATGGTATGCAAAAACGGAAATTCGAGAAAATTCGAAGAAAAATTTGAATTGAAAAAAATTCAAAGTAATGGAAATTCGACAAAAGTCGAGGAAAATTTTAGAAAACGCGAGAAAAATTCTAAAACGAGAATATTTGGTAGAAAAGAAAATTCTACGAAATTCGAGAAAAAAGTCGAATTAGGATAAATTGAAAATATTGGGAAAAATAGGAAAAATTTTCAAAAGGTCGACTCGAGAAATAATAGGAAAATTCCGAAAATTATACCAAGACAATCCTTACAAAAGCCCAACCAAGTCCTAATCCCAAAACCCCGGAAAATTCTTCCGAAACTGATGGAAATCCCTTTATACGACAAATTCGAAACGTTAGAAATGGACTTTAGTCTTGACGAGACTAACGATGCGATCCCAATCTTTTACCAATCGACAACACACGTAAGGCAAAATGGTATAAAAAAGAGGAATTAAAGAGAAAACGAGAACGATCGCGCGCTCCAGCGCGCGCGTTTTTCTCTTGCGCATTCCTTTTTTTAATATTTTAATTTTTTTAAACAAAAGTACTTACAATGAGAATAATGGCGCAAATATAATAAATGTTTTAAAGAAAAATTGAAAAAGAAATGTTTATGAGAATGATAATCAAGATCACCATCAGCAGTTGTAGTAAAAATTGCTGCAACTTCATTCACACTTTGTAAATTATAACGTCTACTATCCATCCCAGGCTTTAATGAAAATAATAATTGCATCTCAGGCTCAATTTCTGCTTTATTTTTAGTCATCGTTTTTTTAATTTCTTCATGCATTATACGGTAGGACTGTGCAAATAGGTTACAATCCCGAAGGGCTGTATCTATTCCATCAACAATATTTAGGTTTAATTAAACATTTTATTCTTACAACGAATTTCGGAAGCTTCGTTTTGATCAACAATAAATAACTGTCCAAATGAAGGAGTATCGTTTCTTTGAGACGCATGCTTATTCCCGAAATCTTTATTAACCAAATAGTTATTTGATATAAAACAACTTAACTTAAAATTCACATAATATGCACATTATTTGACATAAATTTCATTGCACACAAAAACCATTTAACATAAATATCATTTGTCATAGAATTCATTAAACAGAAATATTATATTAATTGGATCTTAATTTGGTTTTGACTTGTGAATCAATTAAACTTATTGTAGGTGTTTTTTTATAAAAAAGTTTCACTTCAAGTCCATGAGAATCATAATTTATTTTTTGTTTTTCCTTGCTTACGT